AGGAGGAAAATCTGTTTCAAGAAAAGCCCTAAAAATGTTTAAAAAAAGAAACATTAAAAAAAACCCCCCAAAAATCCATTAGGAAGGAAGGAAATCTGACAACTTTTCCAGTTGCTTTGACCAGTGCTGCATTGATCAGTGGTCAGCCTGCTGGCACTCCTGACGTTCGTTTTGTTTCCTGAAGAAATATACCACTTGAACGATTTTTCTGATGAAACCCATAGCAAAATCCTAGCTTTATTTTTTGTCCTTGGTGTCTATCAGGCATCACTATCTCGTCTACGAAGCTGCCGAGAAGTACACAACCAAAGCCGCAGAAGCTAAATTAATGTTTTTTCCGAAATTTTGCAAAACGGGTAGCACAGCGAGCAGGGTTCGAACCCCCCCCCCCCTTGACGAAGTGGTATTCACTGGTATCGACGCTGATTAATTTTTTAATTAGAATGTTGTTTTTCAAATTCAGAACGAGTCCGATGTGGTCGACCTGAACTGGATGATACGATGCCGAAAGGACGTGTGAGAAAACAGAACGAGGAACTCAATCAACCAATTGATTTTAATTTAGATGAAGATTTCGATTTTGAGGAAAATTTCCGAATTTTCAAAGACCGTGTAAGTCCTGATCCTTTTCCCGAAGTTACGGATCAAATTTGCCGATTTCCCTTACCTACATTATTCTATCGACTACAGGCTATTCACCTTGGAGACCTGCTGCGAATATCGGTATGATCTGGCACGAAATTCAAATAGCCTCCCTCGGATTTCATGATCGTTTTCCCCTTTTTTTTTTGGTTTTTTCCGTTTTCGTGCTCTCTACCTGGGACGATTTTTTGGCATTTTACCTACTCCGATTTGTCCCACCGGTTCTCGACATTTTTCGATTCAATAAAAAATTCATAAAAATCAGAGGGAATGGATGGAGAATAAGTATGAATCGGCGTCGCCAACACTCACTCCCTCTATTCTTCCGGTAGATCCCCTTTATGCAGTTAAAAAAATCTTAAAATTCAATCTTTTCAACATTCTAAAGAAGTAACCTCTAAAACAAAAATCATGTAAGAGATATCTCAAACCATAATCTTCAAAAGTTGCTCCCATTAGAGACTTAAAATTGCTTTTTTCCTAAGAAAGTAAGCCCAATTTCATCGTCGTACAAAAATTTACAGTGGGAGACCTCGGCTGAAACTTCGGAAATATGAGATTGAAATTTCTATCCCACGAAACCAATAATGCATACGTCTCCTTTACAATGTATGTTATGAGTTTGGTTAAAAAAGAAGAAAGAAACACAGTTGAGGATTAATATATTAATGTTATTTTGTGCTCCTAAAAGAAATGCCATAGCGCGAGATTATTGGTTAATGAAATTGATTCCGGAAAATTGAGTATTTGTCATGTCTGCATGCAGGGAATTTCACCTCCAAACTGAATTAAGACCACAC